CCGAACGTGACTCTAATACCAGTTGTTGTGAAAAAATTCGACGGTAGTAAAGCGAAAAGCAGATCGAGAAAATTACACCAGAAAAAGGCGACACAAGATTTACGTGCGTGGTTCGGCAAATTGCCTACGTACGTCCACAGAGCTGTAGAGGATTTTATTAACTTGAGGAATAACACCGTCGAGCACCTCGACGCTTTACAAGAAAATAATTCTTTCTAGTTTCTTTCTTCTCTCTCTTCCCCCTCTCTCTCTCTCTCTCTAAAGCCACCAAAAGAAATTTTCTTTTCCCTGTTAGCAAACCCAAAAGAAAGAAAAAAAAAAACAGTTTTCTTTTCCCTTTCGCTTGAACGCTACAGCCGAGGAGGAGTTTTGGGATGGTGTATTTCTAGCACGCCTTTTGGCTTTGCAATTTATAATAAGCTAAAAAGCCTAATTTAGGAAACAGAGGAGGGAAGCTTTGGCTGGACCGCTTGAAGGGAAAGAAGCTTTGGCGGGATACATAGGTAGAGAGGAATCCACGTGATGCTTCACAAAAGGAATCAAATTAATTAGAAATGAATTTTTGATTATCTGTCATAAAGAAGAATTGTCATAACAGGAGTTGGATCGGGTAACAATACCAATCCTCAATGTCCAACTCCTAAAGAACTCTTCAATTGTAGGGAGCATATATAAAATTTTAACATAGCTCTTTCTATACATTTTCTCAAATTTAGTTTGCAATAGGGTGTGGCTCTTAAAGCTCAATGCATGGAACTATAGCTGTTCTTGAAGTTACCATTCCTCATTCCTGGAGTATTCTTTTTTTCCTAGTTCAAGATGAAACTTTTTACTCAGCCCTCTAATTCTTAAAAGCATTGAAAGTGTATTAAAAAGCTTCTTTGTTTAAAGAAAGCTAAGAAAGAATCACATTCTTTGATAAGAGTTGGCGGTCCATGACATAAATGAGGAGTTTCCCTCATTCAAGTGCAAGAGAAAGAGCGCCCCATGTATGATTGTGATTAGTAACAACTCTTTGAAAACTTTGGATGCCTAAATAGGAAAGATTAAAATGTATATAAATGTTAACAAAATATGGTGAGTTTTTAATCTCTTATCTTTCCTCGTGATTGAATCAACCTCAACTGATAAGTAGGGTAAATGGGTTAAGATAGGAGATTAATCTGGAGATAACTGAGATCTTGCAGCTAGAGAAAGGCCACCAACGCCCCCACAAATTTTAAGGTTATTTACTTGAATGAACCCTCTGTTCTTGCTTGAACTCTTGCCATAAATTGACTAATCTTGATTTGTAATTATGACTTCAATTTAAAATTGTAAACATTTCTCATGAACCTAATATCCAGGCTCTAAAACTTCTCTCATAATAATCATTGTTAGGTATGACTCATATACCATAAATGAGGCAGATGCTGGAGCGGAGCGGAGCCCATGAGTGGAGTGGAGCGAAAGGATCTGTCCAATCGGGAGAGTTTCATTATGTGGGTTGGGGGTGCGGGGGCAACACCCGCGGTTTGATACATGGGTAATTTGAGTAATTATATATTGTACTATAGGGTTATATATATTTCATATTTGTAACCCTGGGTGAGTTTCTAAGATTTTGAATCTTGTATTTTGTACTTTTTTCTGAATATTGAAAAGGAAGTTGTCGCTCTGCTCCCGAGGACGTAGGCATCTTTGCCGAACCTCTTAAATCTCTGTGTGTTCTTCTGGATTTGTGTCGATTCTTATTTTTTTCGCTCTAGTTTCTCAACAAGTGGTATCAATGCGAGGTTCTAGGGCAGGGAAGAAAAATTTCGTCGGCGCATGGAAAAGAAGCGAAGAGGATTCAGATTGCACTTCGGTGATTTTGCGAAGGGTCTTCAACGCCGGCAGTTTAAATCGCAGAGAGTTTGGCCAGGCTATTCTTGCGAACAGAAGAACAGTTCGGCTTCGCAGAAGAGTTCATGAGTTCGAGCGAGGAGTTCCTGCGGGAGTTGCATGAATTCGACACAGACAGGAGCGACAGCAGAGGAGTGCGCGACATTGTTGCGACGGCAGGGTAGTGCGTGACTCCAACAGGCAGACGGATCGCGCGAGGGTTCGCGGCAGGAAGTTCCGCGAGATTGCTTCTTCGACGGTAGGAAGTTCCCGCAGACAGCTAGAGGAGTTCGGGCGCGATAGTTCACGAACCTTTTGTGGCTTTTGGCGAGGTGCGGAAAAGGAAATTTAGCGCGGAGATATTCCAGAGGTTTTCTAGAACTCAGGAAAGGCAAGGAAGGGGAATACGTTATTGCACTCGGGAAAGGAAAGATTTCATTTTAGAAGGAAAATGGAGGTGGAGCTTTTATGGAAGGAAAATGGAGGCACGGCTTTTCTGGAAGATGGAGCTTTTCTGGAAGGAAAAATGAGCTTTTCTGGAAAACGGAGACGAAGCTTTTCTTGGAAGTTTAAGGAAAATGATTTCTGAGAAAGTTTAATTAAGAAAAATTTAATCAAGAGTTTTTTTTACGAGAAATTTAATTAAGGGATTATTTAAAAAGATTTGTGACATGATTAAAGTGAGTAAAATTTTTGGCTCAAGCAATTTGGAAATTTAGCAGAGAAGTTCGTTGCAGGATCAATTTCAGATAACAATTTCTAGTACAAAATTCGAGGTGGTGAAGTTTGATAGAACTGGTAACTTCGAATTATGACAAACAAGGGTGAAAGATTTATCGGCTTAACAAAGAACTTTGAAAGCTTTGCGGGCAGCAAAACCAGATGCCATAGAGGACGAAGATTGAGAAGAATTGCAACAACGAGGAAAGTTAACTGCAGGTAATATCTATAAACTGTTGGAAAGTAAAGTTATAGGTGGAGTTCAATTTATTGGATTGTGCGATGAAAATGCAGTAGTTATGTTGACCAAGTCAGGTACTATCAACAAGTTCTTGCATCGCTTGAACTTGTTGAATGTTTGCAATTGTTAGACGACTTGGTGACCCAACCCATATTGGTGCATAAGAAACTTCATGATATATTTCTCCTAAGGGGCTGAATATTCGTCAAGGTGGAGATTTGTTAGGTATGACTCATATATCATAAATGATACAGATGCTAGAGCGGAGTGGAGCCCACAAGCGGAATAGAGCGGAAGGATTTGTCCAATCAAGGGAGTTTCATTCTATGGGTTGGGGGTGTGGGGGCGACACCCCACAGTTTGGTACAGTGACAATTTAATTAATTACATATTGTACTATAGAGTTATATATATGTTCTGTTTGTAACCCTAGGAGAGTGAAATTCTAAATATTGTACTATGTATTCTTTTCTAAATATTGAAAAAGAAGTCGACACTCTGCTCCGGAGGAAGTAGACATCCTTACCGAACCTCATAAATCTCTGTGTGTTCTTCTGGATTTGTATCGATTCTTATTTTTCTTCGTCCTAATTTCTCAGCAATCATAATGTAAACAATAATATCAGGGTGAGTCATTGATTGAAGAGCTACAAAAGGATATCTTAGCCTTCCTATTTGCAATATGGCAAAAGGAGCTTTCCTCTGATGGCTGGGGATTCAACGAACCCACCATGGTAAGGATAATTTTGACATTTATAGGAGTTGACATATGTATAGTGCTTTCATTATTCAGTGGTGAGTAACAGTTTCATCATATGCGAATGAATGCTTCACTTTTTGTGCTTATAATTCATTTTTCCTTAATCTCTTGAAAACAATGCATAGATAGGAGAGAGGTACCGCAGCACTATGACCCAAATGATTGTAAAAAAAAAAAAAAAAAAAAAATCTTGCAACCTCCTTACCTTGACTTAATAATGTAAAATTGTGTTTGCACCAATCTCCTTCAATATTTATTATTAATGATGATTTTTCATTGATCCAAAATATAGTCGATAATGTTACAGTGTTAAGGTTGGTTGTCAATAACTTTTACGGTTCATCGAATTCTCACCAATATAGGGAGTCAAGTTTACATCATCTTTCTACGTGTACTTAATAATTTGAACATCTATGAGCGGAGTTGAGGTTAATGTTGACTGGCCATTAGCTTGATTCCTTAAAGCACTAATGCATTTATTTATATTATTTACTCCTCATATAAATATGATGGTCTTATCTTTTCATGCTGATCTTTTTATGAAAAGAACTAAGAGTAGTGCAATTGTTATTTCTCAAACCATATTATCTTTTTAATACTCTCCCGGCCAATATGAATAAATTATAGTTATTCATTACCTGCTGGCTCAATAATATCTCAAATTCAAACCATAGTTGATTCATTCTTCTCCTTGGGTAGTTTATTCATTCTTGGCCACGTTAATCTTCTACACAATGTGAGGGCCAAAATGTTTCATCCTCCTTTTGGTGAATCAATTACTCTTCCCTGTGATGAATTGATTCATCTTCGACCAAAACAATTCTAATAAAAACATTTATTTTTCTTTGCTAGTACTGGAAATAATTAATAGTTTTTAATAAAATCAAACATGAATAGCCTAAGAAGAGCAAATCATCCTTGAAAAGAATTTAGTTTGATAAAGCTTTTAGAAGCCTCTATTCCAGAATAGATTTGATTTTTATTGGTTCAACCTCAATGTCCTGGTTCGGGCCAGGCCTAAGAAATTTCTGTAAGATACGCTAAAATGTTTATAAAAAAATACAAAAAATTTCAATGTCGTCAATAAGATGTGGCTATCAATTTGGTTAATGTGTATAAAATTTCTTGGTGTATCATGTGTGCTTTTCTTATTTTTGCTTTATTTACTTTCAATAACTTGATTTAAATCTCACATAATTTCCTACAAAAACATCATCAAATTCCAAATTTTTCTTTTTCTACTTTCCTATCAAGGGCCTCCTCTCTAGAGAATCAGATGATTTGATAAGCCAAATTGGAATATGCTCCATTTGTTTTCTAACATAGAAAAGCTTAGATTTTTAAATTATAAGGAAAAATTTTTATATTCCTCCTTGTTGATGATCAAATTTGTGACATCTTTTGCTCTTGTTGCAGTCCCTGCCCGCTATTGAATGGGGCAAGTATACCCGTGTTGTATTGGACGTTGGTTGCGGAGTTGCAAGCTTTGGTGGCTATCTCTTCAATTGGGACGTACTCACAATGTCCTTCGCACCTAAAGATGAACACGAAGCTCAAGTTCAACTCGCTCTTGAGCGAGGCATTCCTTTCCTGCGATATCCGCCGTGATGGGCTCCCAACGACTTCCATTTCCGAGCAACGTGTTTGACCTCATCCATTGTGCAAGGTGTCGTGTCCCATGGCATGCAGATGGTATTTCATTTTCGATTTACTCTCTTCCATTTGTGTTTTCGCTTTGATTATTATTTTACAATTTTCATGGCAGGAGGCATGCTTCTTCTTGAGATCAATCGTTTGCTTCGTCCCGGCGGCTATTTTGTGTGGTCGGCCACTCCAGTTTATCAGAAACTAAAAGAAGATTTAGAAATATGGAAGGGTAATTTATATATGGAAAATTTACATACATACCACTCAATTCCTATATATTTAAATATTTAATATCTAAACTTCAATTTTTGCGTACATGCAACCTAAACTATGCATGAAAAGATGTATTTCACTTTTTAAAAGTTAAAATTATGGTATTTTTTATGTGATGAAAGATTTAGGTGTTATAGATGTAAAATATAAAGTTTAGGCATTAGATATGTAAACATAGGGGCAGTGGTATGTATGTAAATGTCCCTTTATAAATTTATGTCCTATTTACCTTTGTTGGTTTTCACAGCAAGATTTATTTCATTTAACCATGTTAAATGGAAAATATTTTTCCTATTTCAGCTATGAGTTCTCTAACTGAATCAATGTGTTGGGATTTTCTCAAAATCAGAAAGGACAAATTAAATGGAGTTGCTGCAGCTTTCTACAGGAAACCCCCGTCTAATGAATGTTATGAAGACAGGAAGAATCAAACTCCTGCCATTTGTGAAGAAGAGGATGATCCCAATGCAGCTTGGTAAGCTGATTTTTTAAGAGCGAAAACTTTTTGGGGCAATCACATACATGGCACTCAAAATTTTGCTATTTACAAAACTAGCACCCTCTTTCATTCGCTATTTAAATTCTAACTCAAATATCAAAGCTCACAATAAAACCCCAACCAGTCAATTTCATTTGTATGAAATTTCCAATAATTTGACTGTTGCACATGCAAATGCATCCGATTCGGTAGTTCAAAAAAAATGGCCTGGGTGCTAAATAGCAAAGTTTGGAGTGCAATGTATTTAATTGTCCCAAATTTTGAGGCAATTACATAGATAGCACTCACAATTTCGTTATTTACAAAACTAGTCCCTCTTTCATTCCTTATTCAAATTTTCACTCAAATATCAAAGCTCACAATAAAATCCTAACCCATAGTTTTCATTTTTATGAAATTCTCAATAGTTTAATTGTGGCACATGTAAATGCATTAGTTCGGTAGCTAAAAAAAAAAGACCTTTGTGCTAATTTTGTAAATAATAAAGCATTGAGTGCTATATATGTAATTATCCCAAATGTTTTAAAGTTATAAGTATAGTTCCAATCAATCTACCAAATACCCCAATGATCATCAAACAAAATCTCATAGCAACTGTACTGTTATTTTTATGTTTTTTACAGGTATAGCCCTTTAAAACCCTGCATACACCTGGCTCCTGTTAATGCTTCAGAAAGAGGAATAGAATGGCCCGCGGAATGGCCACAAAGACTCAGTACTCCCCCATTCTGGCTTAATAGCTCCCAGACAGGCTTTTATGGCAAACCAGGTCTTCTCGATTTTGAATCCGACAGCATACGTTGGAAACGAATCGTAAAGAAGTCCTATCTGGTTGGTTTGGGCATAAATTGGTCCAAAATTAGAAATGTAATGGACATGAGAGCTGTCTATGGAGGGTAATAATCTATTGCTACTTTATAGCTTACCATTAAACAAAGTGTGTAAAAAAGTAAAGTTTGGGTGTTAGATATGTAGATACATAGGAATTGGGTTGTATGTATGTAAATGCCCAAACAAAGGAAGATTTACATACATAACAATTAGTCCTATATATTTACATATCTAACCCTTGAACTTTAATTTTTACATAGATGCCGCCTTACCTATGCATAAAAAGGTGTTGTTCATTTTTTAAAAGTTAAAATGGTGGTATTTTTATATGTGATATGAAAGATTTGGGTAGTATAAATGTTAAAAAGTGAAGTTTAGGTGTTAGATGTGTAAATATTTAGGAACTGGGCGGAATGTATGTGAGTGCCCCCAAACAAAGGAAGATTTACACATATATACCACTTAATTTCTATGTATTTACATATCTAACATCTAAACTTCAATTTTTACATAGATGTCACCTTACCTATGCGTGAAAGTGTATATTTCACTTTTTAAAAGTTAAAATAGTTATATTTTTTTATGTAATATGAAAGATTTGGTGGTATGAATGTAAAAGGGTAAAAGTTAGGTGTTAGATGTGTAAATACATAGGAATTGGGTGGTATCTACCTGAATGCCTCAACTGATACTCATTTATATTCAGGTTTGCTGCTGCTTTGAATTTGGAGAACGTATGGGTCATGAATGTGGTGAATATTGATGCTCCAGACACGCTTCCTATCATCTATGAACGTGGCCTTCTAGGCATATATCATGATTGGTGTGAATCTTTCAATACCTATCCTCGAACTTACGATCTCTTGCACGCCGACCACCTCTTCTCGAAGCTGAAAGAAAGGTCAGTTTGTTCAACCAACGGTCTATTTGAGATAGATTTTTATCAGTTTTACGTTTTAGGTTGCCATCACAATTTTGTTGGGGAATTAATTTCTTACTACTTTCTAAAAATATTTGAGAATTTTACATGCGTAGCACACAATACTTATGTTTTTTCATACCCAACAACTTTTTGTTGCCAGAATACTTGTGGAAAGAGATATTATTAAAAGCCCAAGGGCAATTATATTAAAGAGAAAAGGGTACAAATAGGTTGTATGAGTGGGCCCAAAAAAGCACCCAACCCACACAGTACAACACAAAAAAAAATTTTAAAAACCCAGAAGAAGATGGTACATATAAGATCAATCGGGTCGACCCAATATATATCTTCTGCGGTTTCTTCATATATATCTCCTCCTATAGCTTCACATGAAGAAAACATTCTTCACATCCAGTTGGTGGAGTCTCCATCCACCATTCACTGTCAGAAAAGCCATTGTCCTCACTGTGCTCATCTTTGCAATTAGTGTAAATGTTTCATCGTAGTTAATGTCATGCACTTATCTCTACCATTTTGCCACTAGTCGTGATTTGTTCCTCTCCACCTTCCCTTTTGGAGTTTGCTTTACCGTGAAGATCCACCTGCATTCAATTGCCTTCTTCGTTGCTGCTAGTGGTACAATAACCCATGTTCGATTTTTTTCAAAAGCTCTAAGCTCTTCATGCATCATCGTTTTCCACTCGAGATTCTCTTTAGTAATTTGCAAACACTTGGGTAAAGAGACAGAGTCTAATGATGCAATGAATGCTCCATGCAAATGTGAAATGTTAAAATAAGAAATAAAGTTCACAATGTCAGGTTCCCACCCAAAACGATCAAGAGGACGTCTAGCATTGCTGCGGGAGGTCATTCTTAACGTTGGGTTGGGGGGGGGGAGTTTGCTTCTTCCTCCATTTATACATCCTTAGCTCACCTTCAGTCTGAATCCCACAACCTTTGGGTTCAATCTTCTCGATTTTCGTCTTCTTAATTGATTTATCCCACACCACAAGACATGGCATTGATTCCACTTGCACCACTCCATCACCACTACTACACACTCTCTTTTGCCTCATATCCTGGTGTCTGTTGAGTTATCGAATAGTGAATTCACCTCCAGTGTGTAGTGTGGTTCAAACTCTCTGAATGACATATCTATACTCATAAAGATCCTCTTATCAATCGGGCTCCAGCAGACATAACCCTTCAGAGTAGCAGGATAACCCACGGACACAGATTTCACAGCTCTGAAATCCAACTTCCCTACAGATGGTTTTATGTTTTTCACAAAGCACACACATCCAAATACCTTCAATGGAAGGATCTGACTATTATATTCTTTCAACATCTGACAAGAAGAGTTCTAATTCATCACTCTTGAGGGCATCCTGTTAGTCAATTGAACGGTTGTCAACACCGTTTTCCCCCATAAGTATTGTGAGACATTCGTTGTTATCAACATGCTCTAGGCTACCTCTAGAAGATGTCAATTATTCCTCTACTACATTATGTGTTGGTGTGTATGGGAATGTGGTTTGGTGTTGTATCCCTTGAGCTGAAAGATAGTTCTCAAATGCTTTGTTGATATATTTTCTCCTATTGTCTGATCTCAGTTTCTTCACAACTGCCCCATTTTGGGTCTGGATTGCCTTGTGAAAATCTATAAAGCAAAAAACCACCTCTCGTCTGTTTCATCAAGTATATTCAGGCAACACGAGAAAAACAATCAATAAACATAATAAAATAACGATAACCGTTCATAGAACTAGTAGAACAAAATCCCCATACATCAGATTATAATCAAACACACCAGATCCTGTTCCCAAAACTAACATAAGAGCTCCTACTGAGCTTGCCAAACTTTCACACAACAGTTTTCCCTTATTTACCTTTTCTAGAAGGATGGATACAAACAACACGATAGACTAAACGAAGTGTGTCCTATAAGCCTGTGATGTAGCAGTGATACATCCTCCACACTCCTCTCAGATCTTCCTGCTTTAACATTCTCAACCATGGATATCAAGACTGAGTCCATTCCTCTCAATCTAAGCACCAAATTCCACTATGTCACGTGTCAGTCTCAAGTTTCTGGCCAGTCTTCTTCTCTTGAACGATCATCTTTGGAATATCAAATAAAATAACAAATTTTAGTTGGATTATAATGACACTAATGGATAAAATGTTCATTAGAAAAGAAAAAACTTGCAAAATATTGGACAAAATCATATTTTTGGTACACCTCTTTGTATCTTTACTAACCACAGGTTGTGTTGTATTATCAGCGGTCTAAATGTTCTCTGGAATTGCTAGGTAAGTATAGGAAGAGAACTCACTTGTGTGACACCTGTCACATGTCGAGATGCACCATAATCTACTATCATTTCTGGTGAACATATGATGGATATAGAGGCAAGAGCATGTGTATCACGAGCACCTTTAGCAAAGTGAGCATAATTAGCAGTGTTTTCCTCGAAGGACGATAAGGTGGATGTATTTCTAGTGACATCACTTGTCGCTCTGTGCTTCCTCTTCAACATCTCCTGTAACTCGTGATCCTCACCGGTAAAGATCACTCTTATCTCTTCCTCGTTCTACGCTGCCATCAAACTTGGATGGTGACCCTCTTTTTACCTCTTTGGCTCCCAAAATTACGACTACGGTCTCTAGACTGTCCACGTCCACCCGTCTCTCTCTCTATGCGTAGATTTGTACACGTTTTTCTCATGTTTCCCACTTTTCCGCAGTTGTAACATCTGCGGGTCACCCCTTGAGCACCTGTCCTACTTTACCTCGAGGCAGCCAAAGCTGTTTGCATTCCTGGAAGTCCACTCTACCGAGTTGGAACACATGTTGAGGTAGTGGCTCATGTCGAGACACTAGTCCATGTATGCCCGACTAAAACCTTCAAAACCTCAGGATCTAACTTTCCCAAAAGCTCCAATCTCTTACCCCCACACAATTTTCATATCCTGATACCCTCAAACTCTTTAGCAGGATATCACCGGAGGATCTCGATCGCTTCCGCTGAAACTTTCTTAAAGATGTTGGCACATGTCGCTCCTCCTAGTGACCTCCGTGACAAATGTAGAAACAAAGAAGCCCTCACTGATGTTGCTCGCATCCGAAGTCTCCTCCTATCTGTCATCCCTGCTGATTTCGTTGCCCCCTTGTTGATTCCAATTTCCTCCACTTTGGACAGTTGAGACACTTTCAGCCTCATAGTTTCGGAGAAAACTTCCTTCACCGTCTCGGTAATGCGATGGAAGTCGTGATTTGCAATATCTGGAAGCCCCATCTCTCTCGTGTGAACCCGTCTACTTCGCGCCACTCCACGCAGGAAAGCCGAAGCCCAGCCTTCTTTTGTTAAGGCGCTAATACCATTAAGAATATTTTGATGTGAAAATTTTACCATTTCATTCACCATGTTTGTTTAAATAGGAGTTACAATGTTTAACAAATAAATCCAATAAAATCCTCTAATTACAGAACCCAACAAAGCCCTCTAACTACACATAACTCACAACAAAAAATTAGTAATAGTGCTATATTTTATGTGATATTAAAAAGTTGGGTGCTATGTGTAAATATGAAAGTTTAGGTGTTAGATATATAAATACATTAGAATTGCTTGTTATGTATGTAAATGCCCCCAAATATTTTTGTTGAGAAGCTATTTCTTACAATCTGACTTGTTGAAGTGTGTTAGCTTTATGAAAGTTGTTTACTTTTTTGAAGAAAAAAAAATATTTATAATTCTTACTCTGCAATTTTCAAAAAATTTGTTTTCCTCATCATAACTTTACAAAATTTTTACAAAAAACCACAGCCACCTCAAGAATAAATTTGAAAATATTCGCCAAATTAGCTTGAGATTTATTTTAAAGCATAATTTCTCTTGGTGTTTCAGATGCAGTCTTGTTCCAGTTATGGCTGAGATTGACAGGATTGTGAGACCTGGAGGAATACTGATAGTTAGAGATGACTCTGCTGTTACTAATCAAGTGGAAAACTTGCTGAAATCTTTGCACTGGGAAGTCAACCTGGTCTTCTCCAAGAACAATAATGGAATAATAGCTGCAGAAAAATCAGATTGGAGACCTGAAACATATTCTGATTCAACTTGATTACTCAGTTCATTTTGGGTAATTAGTTCATACATTTCTTCCTCATTCTATGATTTTGTTAATTTTGCAATTATAGAATGCATTATTTTTAATAACACTTCAACTATTTCACATTAGAATTGTGATAGGGTTGCAACAGGCAATGCATTTGCATTTTGTGCTATTTTGTAATTTGTTTTCCCTATTTTCTTAAGCTATATGATAAGAGGTGATTTGTGCTTCTGAAATATTTTTATTTCTTTGCTTTGTTTAGTGAAGGATATTTTTGTAAATGCTATAGAATTTATTATTTTTAATAACAAGTTGCTATGTTTAGGCCTTAATATATATATATATATATATATAAAGGAATGATTGGAGGCTATTAGTTGAGCCCCAACCATCTTTAATGTGCCTAACCACTCGAGTATCACACCCTACACACGGTGAGATTCAAACCCTAAATATAAGCATAACTTTATAACAACTATAATATAATAGATTATATGGGACAAGGTAGATTATAGTTTACTAATTATAGCGCATTATAAAGGAAACTATAGAATCATTATGTAACAAGTATAAGTTTACAATAGAGTATCATACTAGGTCAAAGTAATCATAATACTCTTGTAGTAATAATGAGAGAGCAATTGTAGCTATAATGAAACAGATGAATCGTATTTGTAATTGCTATAACATATCACAATTGAATTGCCCATCTCAAGACTAAGTGAGTGTTTTAGTAATATTAATGAAATCAGCTCTATTCCATTCAATTAGAATATTTTATCTATAGATTTGTAAACCTTGTCACATCCATCTCTTTGCAGAGTGCTAAAAACTATTATTAATAGGCATAGTTAGTACTTACATGATATGCTCTTGAATATTATCTATGTTCAAACAACTCTCATTAAATAATAACAAAGCATTTTTAGAATTGTCATATGATTTTAAAACACAAAGTTGAAGATTAAGGCTGGTGTAATCAAGTTTATGATATAGTAGTCAATAGTAACAGATAGTGTGTTATTACCTCTAATATTCAATGTAATCATACATGAATACATACATACATACATATATATATACATACATACATTTATACATACATACATGACATACATAGATACACATATGCATGCATACATGCATACATGCATTGCATCCATACATGCATGCATGCATAAATACATCCATACATATATACATACATGCATACATGCATACATACATCCATTCATACATACATGCATCCATACATCAATGCACACATACATCCTCCATACATCCAAGAACACATACATGCATACATATATGCAACCATACATCCATGTATGCATACATCCTCCATATATCCATGCATACACACACGCACACACAAATATATATATATATATATATATATATATATATATACTTTTCTAACAAGCAAAGCACAAAGAGCACAACAAAACACAACAACCTCACCTCAACCTAATCCTAAAATTGCGTTTAGTGTCCTAAAGTGAGTCAACATTTAGTGAGTGCACAAGGTGAGAGGATCCAAACTACACATTATTATTCAAATTTACCAAGTAAAAATACTCATTTGGAATTTTTATATTTTTTGTATATTTAAGAATTTTTATGGATCTTATTTGGATTTTTTTTTATATTATTTGGTTAAATGTCTTATTATGCTTATGAGGCATATATATGTATTTAATAAATATTAATGCTTATAAGATATTCTAAACTATTAGAAAAAGTGATTATAAATTTTATGAGGAAAAAATATATAAAAATTTGGAAATTTTGAATATTTTATGAATTTTAATGATTTAAATTGGGTTTATTTTTTATGATTTTTTTATGATTTTTTATATTTTGTATGCGTTTTGACTTAGATGTTTTAAATTGACTTGAGATTATTTCTGCAGATTGTTATTGACTTCAATAGTGCTATGTTGTGAATTTTTTATTGATTTATTAGAATTATTTAAATTTTGAGGGTATGTTTGATTGAAAATTCATAATAAATTCAAATGATCAATAAAATTCTTGAAACTTTATAGAGATGTTTGGAATAAAACTCTAAACAATCTCTAAAATTTTCAAGTCATTCTAAGTTTATTTAGAATTTCTATGAATTATTGCTTTTATTAATGAGTTAATTATTTAAAAATTATCAATAAATTATTTAACGAAAAATATTTTTATATAACTTGATTTTTTTTTTTATTCACTTGATTTATTGATAAAAATTTTATTTAATTTAGACTTTTTTTTTGAAGAAGTTATGGAGGTATGAATGTATGAGGGTATATTTGTATTTTTTTAATTTTTACTAAAATCACTTAATTCCAAAGTAGACATGACTTATTACATGTTTCTTCTTTGTTAATAAGTAATTCAAATAAGTTTTTTAAGATTTTTAAGTTTAAACATTTCATTTGTCAAGTTTAATAATAAGGAAGATATATTAGTAATTTTAAAAAATCAAGCACATGAATTTTACTTATTTTTTTTTTTTTTGATTTTTTATTAATAGCTTCAAATCATATTTCACAAGTTTTAGGTTTGAAAGGTGCACTTTAAAGGCAATGAGGGTATATTGTAATTTAGAGAAATTACAAATATGCCTTGAGTCTCTTTTAAACACTTAAAACTTATTGGATTCTTATTGCTTGGTTGATTAAAAATCATTTAAGATCCATTTCTAGAAATTTTAATTTTCAAATGTCCAAGTTAAAGGTTTAAAAGTAATGAAAGGTATATTTATAATTTTAGAAAATTACAAATATATCTTTCTTTATTTTTTTCAATACATAGATTTTATTGGAAATTTATTCTTTGTCACTTTATTAATGATTTCCAAATAGATTTTACATAATTTTTTTTTATCAAATGTTCAAATTAATAGCTAGGGTAGATTCATAATTTTCTTAATTTTGCTTAATTTTCATTAAATCTTCTTAATTTCACTTACTCATTTAACTAAATTTTTAGAAATTTTCTAAGGCTTAATTTTAATGGTTATACAATAATTGATGACAATTAAGGTTTTCAAAGAATTGCGAAAGACAATCTTTTAACATTTCAAATATTTACAAATATAAGTTTCTTCCTAATTTGCTTTTCAAATCAAAGTCAGTCTTAACCGATTCATTTCACATGTTTAATCAATCATAATATCAAAATTTAAATATGTAATTCTGTTTTAATCAATATTTGGAAATAATAGGGTAAAAGTGTAAATAGCAATTTTACAAATATACCCTTATGTATATCAAGGGTTTTATTAAATTCAAATGAGTAAAACTACTGCTTTATTAGAAGAATACTCTATTTTTAAGATTTTCTTAAAATTTTCAGTGGGTTTTATATTTTTATCATTTTTATTTATTTATTAATTAATTATCAATTTTCATAAAAGAAATATGATTTATCGGTTTCTATCCTTGGAAAAAATATGGGAGGTCATTGATGCCTGAGACCATATATGAGCAAAAAATTATTTAATTTTGAGTTGTTTTTGAATTGTAATGAATTTTTAAGGATCTAATGAGTTTTATTTAATTAAAAATTTATTATTGATCGTTCTATCTTTATTTCATTTTCATATTATTCTTCATATCACTAATTTGAAGACATTTTTCCTTTTATTTATTTTAAATTTAGTATTTGAAGCTCTATTTAATTTTTCATGGTTTATTTAATTAGATAAATCTGATTTATTTGTTTAAACCTAGGTTCACGTAAGCTCCTCCACGTCAGCTTCACTGCTGCCCCATTTCCACGCATTGTTTTTTATGATTCATTTGCTCATCATTGGTGATGTCACAAGAGTAAGTGATCTGGTACGCTAATCCGTTTTCATCAAGTATGTTTAAATCTGAGACATTTTCTTTAAATACAAGAATACGAACGACATCTGTTCTTCGTCCCAAATGGGATATGAAAGCAAGTTGTCAAAAAAAAAAGCATGATCTAATGGTTGATCATACAATCAATTCAAACAAATAGGGTCTTTATGTCTGCTTTCATAAAGAACCAACCACCAAGCCTATTTCTAAGTTTTCAAAGAATTGCCTCAATTCTTATTGAATTCATTCAGCTGGATTTCTTTGGATAGGACATCCTAGCTTCAAGAGCTTTCCTCTTGCTCTGATTACTTTGATTCAAGCTCATTTTATATTCTTGATTAAAAACATTCACCACGATTGGTCTTGAGCTTGGGTAGAAGTCTCAGTTGTGGAATTTTAGCAAAGGAGTGGGGTGTTAGGTCGAGGAAGCTATTGGAGGGTTTATTTGGGAAATTATGGAGTGGATGATAGAGATCAATGTTGTCATGGTTTAAGCTAGGAAAAAAAAGTGGAGAAATAGTGAGTGGATGGGCTTAGAATTTATGGGGAAGTTGGTTAAGGACTATGGCTAAGGTTTACGATCAAATTTGGAACAGTTCCACTAGGGGATAACAAGGGTTCAACAACTTAAATGGAGTGATTCTTAGCCCTATTTATAAGCTCGATTAGTCTTGGTGAGCTTCGGAATGGTTAGGGGCACTTATAATTGGTGTCTTGCTAACATGATAGGGCCAAAGTTGTCAGCTAATAAGTTATTTCTTATTGCAAGGATAAAGATAAACAAACTACTGAGACTTCATGGGGTTAACACAATAAAACATGCTTTATATTGAAATTCAAGTTTTCAAAATAAAACAGAACTCAAATAAAAATACAAAGGACTTATCTTAAACTTCTTCCCAAGAAAATCTTCTGAAGTTCCTTTGAAGTATTCTCCAAACTCTCCTTACAATTCACTACAAAAGACACACACACACACACCACCACACAAACTCTCTCCTTCAAGACTCAAAGACTCTTCTCCTTAAAAAAACTTTTTTTGGCTTCTCTTGAATCCTTTTATGATAACTCTCAAAATCCCCAAGAATCACTTCAGATGCCCCTTCAAAATTAGTCCAAATTCAATGCATAATAATCAAAACTGATAATGGCGCCTAAGCGCGCAACTGTGGCCCCTAGGCGCCAACCTTCTAGAAGCCCAATATAATTCCATGGCACCTATGCGCCAGCTCCTGGTGCCATGGTGTTTGGATCTCTGTTTCTACGTACGGGGTCTAGCGCATAGGCGTCAATTCACTTTGTGCTC